ATATAAGGTTATTTGGTATAAAACGTAGCAAAAATTAATCCTTTATTTCAAGATGACGCTGCTTGAAACAGTGGGATATTTCGCCACATTTTTTTTTAATTCAAGAGGCACTTGTATTTTTTTTTAATTCCGGGACCGTTTACTTGGATATCGTCACTTGGACTTTCACTGGACAATTTGTATTAGGCCGTAGAGAATAAGGAAATTCGAGTACTTCATGAAAATTGGACTGCGGCAGCGCAAAACAGCTCGTCATTTAAGCCTTGTATTCAATTAAGGTTCTAGTAGAAAGAAGTATGAGCCGCTGCTTTTGAAAATTCCGGAAAGGAAATTTCCGACTAACATGAGTCTCGTGGAAAACCCCCTGTGAAAGCGAATAACGGAGTGTTCAGAGCTCCGGGGGAAGCTAACCCATCTCAAACCACCCGGTATTGTAGCGCTTAGGTTCGATGTATATGGAAATACCATATTTGCTTATCTCGGTTAAATTAATAGAATAAAAAATTGACCAACTTAAAAACACAGATGTAAAGAAGCTTACTTCTCCATATTCTGACTTTACAATAGTATTTCCTTCTTGCGCCGCATCGCAACTTGTGATGCAAAGTGCATCCTTCATAAAAATCGTAGTCGGTTACACCATAGAGTGGGTACGATAAAACAAGTAAGACATAACCTTAAACCAAATGTACCACTGCAAAAGCTTATGGTATTTGCTTCATTGTTTATAGTTGAGGTATACCGTTAACGGCTGGAAGAGATAAAAAGAACTTCAGAGTAAGCAGCCAAGATTAGTAAACAGACCCAGACTACTTCTATTGTGTAACAGTCGACCTCACAGTGCAAGGGTTACAGTGGCAAAAATGCAGGGGGTACAATTGGAGCCCTCTGTCATCCACCATACTTGCCAAACGTTATTCCGATACATGACTTTTTTCCTTTATCTCAATTTATTATTTAAAAAAAAAGCCAGCCTGTGAAGTAAGTTTGAAAATTTAGAGTTCACTATGTCGCGTTTCCTATTGAACGACCAAGCATATATTATGTACATATATAGCCTTTGGCCAATTATGTAAAGCCCGAATATCTTAGAAATTATCAAGTTTGATCAAAGAAAACTGTGCACCTGCACTAAATATTTGCATGCGTTTTTTGTGCAACAGCTAGCTCTCCTCTGCTTTCCAACGGTAGCACACGTGACAACACTGTCGCTAAAGGGGCATTTTGAAAAGGCTGCTGTGGGAAGGAAGGAGCTGACACGTGTGGTGAAATGGCTGTGCGCCATAAGATTATGAGCATTCGAGAGATTACGTATAACTTATGTAACCGATTTCGCTTCCTTCCGTTCGTGGAGAGAGATGGATGACTCGAGATTCAACATAGCAGTTGTCGTTAATCTCTTCTATTCGATGACGGCGACGTCGTTGCGACCACAGATTATTCCAAAGTGAATTTTAACAATTTTGGTGCCTTTGTGACTATGTATGACTTCATAATGAAATTACGTACACTAATAGTCAGTCTCATACAAAAAGAACGATCGTAAAAAGAAGTTGCAACTTACCATATTGAAGTGTGCCGTTGACAATGCAACCCAGAAGGGAAAGAATGTATTAACCTTGTTGTCAACAAAAATAGGGAAGAAAAGTCAAAAGCGATGCGAGGATACCAGACAGTTCTTACCACGCTACAAAAAGACCAATTGGTTACGGTTTGTCAAGTGCGTCAGGGTTCGTCAATTGAAGAGTAAGAAAGAGTTTGTTTCTAAGATGAATCGGCGTTCTCGTGAGTCCTGTGCAATCGAACGGGCGCTGTGGGCGTTCAGCGGTTCCGTCTAGTATGCCACCGTACCATGTTTCGAAATGTACCTTTCTACTTGTCTAATTGTGTAATGTAATCTTAATAATGTTGTCCATGATACTGATATGTAATGTACATCTACTGGCAATCATATAATATATACCCTACTCGCAAAGAAGTGTATTTGACTAACTTTTTGTACCCATCCTATTAGATATTTTGAATGGCCTTCGTAGAACAAACATGAATAACCCCAAGTCGATAAGATTTAGAAGAAACGAGAATAGGATAACGAATGCCATCTGGATAACGAATTCCACATTATAAAAGTTTTTTTTTAGATAATGCCGTATCGAATTATTGAGTCCAGCCAATTATTCAAAGCCAAACGTTGTTTTTAAAAATAAACAAAGGTTTATAATTTGTATCGTAAATGTTTAATATTTATTATAATTTTATACTATTGTATATACTATGTACATTAATATTACTTATGCTATTAATTGTCATCTTAAAAAAGTCATCTGGAATTATTTTACTTATCATTGAACAGATACCTCATTCATTTCAGTTTTTACAGAATGTGCCTATGTTGAAAAAGCATTGACCCGAAGTTAGCTTCTTTTGTGTTCGATGTCATTTTTGCACTGCCGTTTCTACCGTCAGTATCCTGAATAATGGAGAGCTTTGGCCAAATGATGTGTGTTATATCTAGAGGTCTAACTATTGAACATTTCTTGTCCTGTCATTTAAGTCTATGAAAAGCATTAAAAATTTGACAATATTTCCACAGCAACTGTGGGTTTTACGAGTATCTGCACTGTGGCTGTAACTTACGATAACGATGTGCGAACCTGACGTGCCTTTCATTCAGTATCATACCTACTGCACGGGACGAATCGCAACGACAACGACACGCTGCGCGGAGTTACGTGCATCTGGAACTTTCATAAATTCATGTGACACAGAGGACCGAACATCTTGATACAGACATAAAAGTCATTATAATTTCGGCAGTGCTACGGAGAAGTGCTTGCTTAAAGTTCACCTGTAAGATTTGGTGAACCAATTCGACCCTAACGCAATAATACGAAGTATAACCTCAAGAATATTTATCAAGTTTGGCCTAATGCACCTGGACAAGCATCTTGACAATACAAGTGACCCTTCTATGACACCGATGATACCCCGAGGTCGCACAAGGCCACATCTCACTCAAAAACAAAAGTAAGTAACACGACTGCTGCAAGAAATCATATCAACTGAGATATAAGTTGTAAATTGGAAAGCATCGTGTACGCGCGGTTCTTCTCAACTAGGCACTTTATACAAACATATAATAGATTCTTGTGTAGGCAAAAAAACTGTCTGTGTGGAGGTCAGTTAATTACGAGAGCGCAAGTGCTAGATTAACGGAACTTGTAAGCGCCATTACAAGTTGCAATTTGACAGTTAAAATACGCCATATTATGAATAGAAGCATATTTGATTTCGATCTCCATAAATATAGTACAACTTAGATATCGAATAGCTTTTTTACCATATGTGATCCTACTATCAGCTCGTACCACACTCAGTGCCTTTTTTTGAAATAGCTATGCGAAAATGTGCTTGTATACATAGGGATTTACACACACATCTCACTATTTCTGCAACTAAATACGCCTCTGTTGAGATGGTAGTAAAATACCAGATCTTTCCCTACTAGCAACATCCTCACTGCTGATGTATTGTGCTTTTATTCTAGTATTTTTGAATCCATTATTCCCTTCTGAGAAGACGGTTTGAAGACGGGTTTAAGTTGATGTCTCGGGTCTGGCTTAGGACAGAGCATCTGGCTGGCGCGTGCAGTGTGTTATACTTCGAACCTTTTGCATATGAAATGCATTAGTCTGGGGATGCCCTTAGCGCGGCAAACAAAAAGTAGTTTGGTATAGTTGGGTCTAATTTAGTATAGTTTTTTTTTTTTTTTTTGCTATCCTTCGAGCGTTTTTAGGGCGATATTTAACGTAGCAGAATCCTACGTTGTACAGCACAAGTCGAGCGTAGGAGATATCGAAGGTTTTCGGCAATACATATTTAGGTACAAACACTTAGCTCTAAAGATTTCAGCCGAGCAAATTAGTCGAATAATTACCGCTCAATAATTTGAGTTTAACTATATTATAAAATATTTACCAACAGATCGACTGAGTAAGTAAAAATGAATTGCCTTAAAAACTTGTGAGCCCTATTAGACATTTTTCATTATGTTAGACAAGCCATAAATGGTTGAGTAATGAAGGAAAAGATCATATGGGGCACTAGTAATGTTTCATAACCGTTCAGTCTATATATGTATCTTATGTTATTATACATTGTTTCTTCTAAGTACCTTTAATCAGCAATCACCTATAGCATATATATTTAAGATGCGACCAAAACCATAACGCCGTGAAGGCACTTTGTCACAATGCAATAAGGAAAACCTGCTGCCGCGCAGAGATGGGCAGCTTGTTTCACATCTTTTTGGATATATTGCTTTTAATAGGCTAATTTGGAAAAACTAATTCCTTACTTAAAACCTGGCAAACCTATTACGTCTGAGCTGTTTATATGAATTGCACGAACATTCATTACGTTACAGTGTAAATACTCGTACGTCCGCTTATTGAAGGTCCGCTTACATCAGTGCCCTACTTCGCAACTTCTGCATGAATTATCCCTTTATTAAGCGTCGATATAAGCCTCGACATAAGCTATGACCTTTTAACTTCAATGAACCTCTTGATGCTCATTAGGGTGATATTGCTTTTGTTTTCAGAGTGAAAACTGAACTTTGCAGAAATATAGCAGAGGCAGGAAGGTGCCAGTACCAGGATCGTTGTTTATTTGCCCACTCCGAGCGCGAACTTCGACAGAGACCCACCAATCCCAAATTCCGCAAAGATAAATGCAAGTTAGTGTTGACAGAAAATGCACGCACTCGAGAGTTCTTGGGAGTTGTGCAGATTGTTTTTAGTAAAATGATTTATTGAACCTTATGTGGTGCAGAAAAGCGTTCGTCAAATCTGCTAGAGCACACGACTATCACTGCAGTACGAAGACTTTAATATCGATTTAGCCAGAATGTTTACAGTAATGTCCGTCATTGAAAGACAGCTGGGCACGTATTAACGGAGGGGACAATCTACTGGGTTGCGTATAAAGTAAATCTTTTTTTTTTTTGACAAAATGTCATAGTTCTAAAAATATCTGGTAAAAAGTTATTTGCGTCACCTCGCTGTCACACGCCCGTAGCCTAAAGATTCATCCAGTCCTAGGTCCTACTAAAATCTGGCGTCCATTTCACTATCACTAACACGCTTTCGACGCGTCCTAAGCACTATACCTAGCTCACGAAACGAGTGCATGATTTCTTAAGTGATTCGTAACTATTCTTTAAACGAAATTTCAGGTTTGATCAGAATGTCGTTTTCCTTAAACATCTAACACATAAATATAAAAGCAAATCTGGCAAACGAAAAGTCCTGCAGACCTGAGGACCCTTCTATTGGTGGTAAAGTAAACACTGCATCTCATCAAAATAAGATTTTTGATTCTGCTCGCTCCGCTAAGCAAAGACTGACAAACTCGTAGGACTCCCCGCGGTCCTTTGCCCGGGACAGCAATTAAAAGGTTTCGATAATTAAAACACGTGGAAAAATGCAAATTGGCGTTGCTAGTGGATTTACGCTAATTGTTACAACATTTGCTAGGACTTTGTTGGTATTATACATATTCGTTTTATTAAAACGGATTAATTGGTACAAGATGGTGCTAGAAAATTATCGGTAAATTAAAGTTTGTACGTTACGTACACTGTGTCATGTACCCACACATATCACAGTACATTCAACGTATACACTCAACTCAAAAAAGAAAGTTTTTTTCGTAATTGTTCATAGATGGTGTGACACTAGGTATACATACAATAGTCCCGGAGTTACTAACGCGCCACGTCTGGTAGAGAAACCATTGAAAAAACAATCCGATTGAAAATTGTCTTTTTAAAATAGAAGCAGATTTCACGGCTACAAATTTCGTATTTTCTCTTTATGGACATTTTTACGTTTCTTTTATATATTTTTTTATCAAACGTAAATTTCAAATTTTCTTTCAGAAATATAGTCGAGAGAAATATAATAAGGAAATATTTAAAAGTGAAAAAAAAACATCAACTTTAAAAGTGTTTAACATGAACCCACTCGTGAAATTAATTTTGCCCCACTGGTACTAGCGGATATGTAAGCTGCTTAAAAAAATAATCAGTCATATGGGGATGTTTGAAATGGTAAGTTTTCCTTGTAAGTTTAAAATGTCAGTTAATCATTCAACGCTGAGTATGTAATCTATAAGGAAAACGAGACTAAATATTTGCCTTTACACTACTGTTTTTCTAGAATAATTTTGCTTAGCCAGAATACTGTCAGACATAAACGTATAAAATAGAATGAATGTTTACTTTGTTTGCACACATACTGTTTCAGAACTTTCCATAATGAGGGTTTCTGTGGTTACGGAACTCGTTGCAGTTTCAAACATGTAATACAAGACGAACTGATCACCCAGCTCAACAAGATGGTCGAAAACTTTTGGCGATGGAAAGAAAGCACTCAGACTTGTAGGGAAATGAATCGAACAGAATTAAATATGGAGCCTTGCAATCGCCGCTTTCAATATGCGCCAAAAAAAAACACCGAATTCATCGCGTTGAGTAGAAGCTGAAAGATATTACTGCCGAAACGTGAACAACGAGCAAGGCCTCACCTAAAGTTTAGGGTTTTTTTTCATAAAAAAATAATTTAATCATACAAAAAATTACTGCATGGTTACAAAAATACCCCCAAGATACCGATCCTATAACATGTGGTTCTATAGGAAATATTACAATAAGTGACGCGGGTTTCTACTTGTAGTGTCGTTTTAAATAGTTTTAAAAGAATTGTTAGAAAGTAACTGCCCAAAATTCCAAGAGCCCCTCGACCTTAATCTCTAGTATTCTTTTCTAAAGAAAATATTTATAAACCATATTTAAGTTCAAATCTGACTCTATATGTACTTCAAATGCTTTAGTCTCTTGACCCTTTACCACTACCACTATCATTACTACTATTACTACTTAGTTAAAGCTATCCTAACTTGGCAAGTTAAGGAATCCGTATGCTGTTAGATAGCTATATATATATATGATCATACATTGTAAAAAAGTTTTTACTTGCTGATGTTTATAAACCTACATATTAGATCAACTAATGACCTATTGGTAATTGAACATAATTGAAATATTGCTTTCAGTTTCTCTGGAACAATATGTAGACAGAGAAAAAAGAAAAAAAACTGTTTTAAGCAAATCTAGGGCTCCCGTACAGAACCTGGACTCAAATGTTGATTCACGAAAATGAATATGATGCAATGTTGACCTTCCTAGGGTTAAGAAGCCGTAACAAATAATTGTTTTTCAAAAAGTTGTCCATTCGTTGAACGACAGCTTCCGTTCAATGAGTTTTTTTTATCTGTTAAGTTATAGGCTACGGACTAGCATCAAACAAAGGATTCGATCGCCGCAGACGTAGGAAAAGCGAACACAGAATAGTAGTCAAAAGTTGGCAGTCCATGTTGTTTTCGACTAAGTAACGTATGATATACACAAAGAAATATTTATAACAAAGTATATACTTAGTTGTAAGTGGTATCCAGCATTCGTGACACACAAATGCGAAATGTTACTTCTCTCTATCATTAAACGCTTTGGTACTTTGTTCTGGCTTGATATCATCTTCAACTGAGTCGCGCCAGATATCATTACAACGGCAGTATTAATACCATATCTTCACTTAATATGCCTTCATTATAGTACGTTATTAATATAGCGGCTAGATTGAATCCATTTGTGTATTACATCACATTAGAATCACTGCATAAAACCGGTCCGATGACCCAAAACAGGGGGTGAAACTTAGAATACTGTAAGTGCACCGAGCTGACACACTTAAATCGAAATGTTCATCAAAATAAAGGATTCATTTCATCCCAAGGAACATGGCATCTTTTTGCAAAACATTTTAGCACATCTTCAAGTCATGTCAAAACCGCCTCTATAAAGTCAAATATTTTAGTGTTGTCTATCCTAGTAGACCAAATGAGCTCACTGAACAAAAAAAGAAAGATAAATTTATCATGGAGCTCATAAGTCAAACAGAGTAACATATCTACGAGGCCAAGTTGTAGTTTTTTTGAAAAAACTTAGGTTCCAGGTTATTCGAAAAAGTTCTCATTATTTTCTTAAGCATCGACAACTATATGGATAACACTTTCTATGCCACTTGATTGTTCTACTAACTTGTGTCCAAGGATATATATTTACAAGATGCTAGATGAACGTATTCTGTAGGTGAACGTACACCATATAGATGTTTCATATTATAAAGAATAAGCTTGCACATAGGCAATTTCGGACATAAATTGTTTCGAGCTGTGTATTTGTATTACTCCAGTTATATAATAAGCACCACATAATTCAATTAAGCTTAAAACTATTGATTTTTACGGATAAGCAACTAGAACTTACATTTACATAGTAAAGCTAGCGTTTATATACTTACGAAATTAGTTATTGATGGTTCAAGAGATATTTAGCAAACGAGTAGTCATTTGTATTGTGAAAATAAATCACGAGCTCTGCCGTGCAGGCAACAGTTCTGTATGTTCTTGATATCGTCTGCTGTTATGTTTTGATATACCTGAAGGCATCAGCAAGGCAAGGTTTATCTAGGTGTTCAAGAGTAAAACAAAATACCAAATATCATAAAGGGTTTTGGAGGTTCGGGATTTGCGAGTATCTAGATACAAATTTAAGCTAGAAGATGCTAGATATTGTGCTATCTCAAAATTTTATAAATTTAGTGCTCCGGGCTTGTACATGGGTGTCTGCGCAGCACGAAATCTTCAATGCAATATGCCCGCGCACATAGTGTCGAGAGTTCCGTAGATTCAAAGTTTAACTGTATTAGAAAGGCTGCATTGCATAAGGTTAGAAACGAGGGCGATGATCAAGAACGTATGTTAAGTAACGTATGGCGCTGGTGTGTTCTGAAAGCCATTTTTCCTATACCAGACTAGGATTGTTCGCATATAATCTGAAATGGTAAATAATGTGACAAATATAAGCATTGATGAAAGCTTCGATATGCGATACATGATTGCCATATGTAAAGAGGTTTAGTGTTATATTTAATAATATAAGGCCATTGATACACGGACATGTTCGAAGTAAAATATAGTTTAATTCGAAACGTCAAAATATAGTAAGGTCGTGTCTTCTAGGGTGCTGGCCATAATTTTAGTTTTATTGTATATGAAGTTCAGAGCAAAGACAGTGGTTTTGCGAATGTTCTGCATAACTATACACTAGCAGTGATCTGAACAGTGCGAAGCGCGGTCAGTAAAAGCCCTGCTGTGTTTTTAGAGAGGCCAGTCTCTCAAGTTCTTACATATTTTTAGTTAACCTTAGCACGTTTACCATGAATTATTTGCCTTGATGAGGATCGCATTTTTTAATGAGTAATATGGTAATGTCAAAGACGTCGAATAACCGAACCTCAAAAATAAAGTGATGGTAGGCTGCTCGAGCAAAAGAGGAAAAAAGATTAAAAGTAGTGAATTTGATTTAGCTGAAGATCAAAAAATCCGGGACTCTATGCATTAATTCTCGAAGTATGTGGCGCAGTAATTTTCTTCCTTCACATCAAGCTCACGGGTACTCTATCTTAAGTCAGCTTAGGAAAGGTGCATTTTGAACATTCGTTGAGTATTTAAATAAAAGCAATACAACAGGAGAGCAAAACGCAAACGCCTTTAACGCCATGAACAAATAAAGAGTACGTGGCTCTTTAGGGGTATATATATTTAAATAACCTGAACTACACTCTAGTAGCAATTTAGTAAATATTTAGCTTATAACTATATCTTATTTAGGTGAATGAGTTTGTTTCTGGGAGGCACTAATAAAGTCTATGGAGCAGGGGGTAAAAGCGTTAGGCAAAAAGGTTTTCTGCGCAACACCGGTCTGGGGCCATCATTTTAGTATTCGAAATTGGAAAGCTGAAAACCAGTTAAAAGGTAACCACACGTCAGGACTTTTAAGTACGGGTTCTAAATTGTAATGAAAACATTAAAAATAAATAAAAGAGGAACAAGTGGTTTGTCACCTTCGAAGTTTGAAGGGCACCAGTAACTAATCATTTTTCTAAAGACCTACTTGCCTGATGTTTTCGTCAATACTTGATGAATTTCATTCTCCCCGTTTTCAAGAAGTAAAAGCTTGATTACAAGGTGTTGATTTTTGGTGTCGAACGATACGTTTGCTTCTAAACTAAATGGCTTTGACAACACTCAACCAACGTCTAGTGTTAAACTGTAACTTGATGTGAAAATTTTTTTCTATTAAAACACTCGTACAGCGCAGATCTGTTTAAGTTAATACCACGGGTGGACTGAAGGGAGTGGCATGAGCCACTTGATTTTTAGGGCAGAATTTCTCTCCGTTTTACATTTGTTAAATCTGACCGATCAGGCCTTCAAAAGCCTGTTTTTCCTTCTAGATAAACTCTGGCCAACTTGTTTCCGCTGGCCAAACATTCTCTATATGTACACAGGTAGAATAGAGTACCTATCAATCGTTGTACATAGATTTTGTGATTACCGATAGGTTAACCGGGCAAAGCCGATGCTCTGCAGTGAGCTAACGTGTACAGTGAGTCATCCTAACGTCCCCTCATGTACAACCCACAGACATCCAAGAAGTCCTTCCCATATTCGGCATAGATAGCTTTGCAATTGCATGACTTGTAAGAATTTGGGTGAGAGCTCTTAATATCTGAGATAATGTCCCTGACCGCGGATTGTGGTGCGATCCGGAGAATGGGCATCCTTTCTTTTTGCTATTGTTTGAAGATGTCTTCTCCTGCATCTACTTCTGGGTAGCCCAGGTTTGCCGCCGCTTCTTAAGATTAAGGTCCTAAAAAATCGTTCTTGCCAGGACAAGTACTGCTGATGTGCTAATTGTTCAATATGTCTGAAACATTTGCAAAACTAAGATGCCCTATGCGCTCCGACATAGTCTCTTACTCAGTTCCTCAAAGTGATTTTAACTAGATTGGGGTCCCATGAGAAGCAATTCGCTCCCCAGTTTTCAGAATGACCCTCTTCTTTTACGCCGTGAATATTGCCAAGCCAATCGAAATTTTTTTCCACTTAAGCTATAACGGTTCTTATTTGTTTCGAGGTAAATTCTTAGCAAATGTTATCTGCTAGCACTACCCAGTTTAAAGGTTCACCAATCTTTTTGACTTCCTATGTAACCCGAAAAACCAGATAATCAAGCAAATGAAGGAAGAATCAATTAAGTGAAAGTAACAATTGGTTACTTATAGAGTTATAATTCTCGAATTCTCTACAGGAACGTACGAGTAATTTTTTATTAATTTTTTTTTAAATTTGCGATATTATTACATAACAAGGGTCTAGTCGTATAATACAGTAGCATACAAATATACATGTAATGTACAAAACGGTTATAGTTCTATTTTGGGAGACATTTTGCGACATCACATAGGCTGGGATTCTGTCCTCGACGATATAACGTTGGCAACACCATATACCGAGCGATTATATTAGAAACTGGCTCGTACAAACTGTCAGAGGCTATCTCCAGTGGGTCAAGATGACCTGAAAACATTAGAAACACAAAACTTATGAATGTGCTTATCAGAAGTATTAGCCGTGAGGCGATGAAGATGACATTTTATTTGTAAAAAATTATAGTACTTCAGGTAATTAGGCCTCAATTGTGCACTTTCAAAAAAGATATGATTTATTGTACCCTGTGCACATATTTTGCAGAAAAATGTTACTAAATAAATAAATGTATGTTCTAGTTTAAGGCGCTCGAAAAGTTCTGTTAGTTGTAGCCAAGTATATTTTTAGAATGAATATTTACTCCTATTTCATCTTTTTATTGACATCGTTTATACTAGTTGTATATTAAAGGTAATTGTTCTGTAGATTTCGTACCATCTACACTTCAAGGGGCTTCCCCGCGTTTCATTCACTGTACTTGAGAAACCGTATCTCATTTTCTGCAAAACTTGCTTTGGCTATACTTTGCTAAACCCAGGTAATAAATGGGTGATGATAAAATTTGATGCGGAAGACAAAAGATAAACTACGCAAGCTAAGGAAGGTTTACTCGTAAAGTTTATGGTGCTATGTTGGATTGCAGTATGCATGACCATTGGTGAACTAGGCTCCAGTAGCTAACGTAGATCTAATATCGACCTAAAATGGGTAATTACATTCAACAGCAAGCTACTAAGTTTTCTATGAAAAGAAGGTAACGAATAGCATAAGCATTAAACCAAGTTTTCCAATAAAATACATTCTGAATTTCGCGTTTACTCGAAACACAATTTGTGTGGCGCGATGGGTTCAAAACTGCTTAGTGCATTTATAATTTGCGATGTGTTTCAGCCAGCGATTACAATGCTATCACATGCACAAGTATTGAGCCATTAGTAATTATTGATGACTCACCCTCTCGTAATCTTTTCATAAGCATCCGGGTCTCCTTTTCTATTGATTTCGATCGTTCTCTCATTTCTTTCAGTAATTGAAAATGTTCGCTCTTTGCCTTCTGATTGACTCTGCTAACCCGAGGATCTCGTATTCGCTCAACTTCGCGTAAGTTTGCGGCCACTGCTTGTTCGATACATTCGATAGCGTCCATACCTAAAGCACAGGCAAAATCATATATTTCACGTATTAACTATGACAGAAGGAGGTATTTATTTACCTAGATAGAACCAGTCATTATATTATCATTTTCGACCGCACAGAATTATACAGAGATGTATTTGTTGCAATATTGATATTGTGAACTAAGTTTATATAAGAATCAATTAGTTTACTACATTATAGTTACTTGTTAACCTTTTTTTTGCAATCAGCGTATACATCAGCAGAGTTTTCGCAAAGGGTCACCAAAGGCCTATGGTGCAAAGTACAGTATGGGTACAGTACTTACGTGAAACAGAGTACCTGCAGGCGTCGCCTTTAAACCTAAGACTACTAACCTACGTGATACCGGTTTTGAACAAGCTCTACCAGGGCTCTGGAAAGCCTTGATCGCGCCTCAATTGCGTTCGCCCTGACCGTACTCGCCAGCTGAGTTTTGTCGTGAAACATAACTTGATACTTCGAGCTTTCTTGACGACTCTTAATTAAGAGCTACAAAACAAATATAGTAAAAACAATAAAACACACGCTAAATAGAACCGAACCCTTTTTTAATGTGTAGGTTTCCAGGTTTAAAAAAAAAGTTATTTCAATTTTTTTGCGTTTTTGCCTCTACTGAAAGTAGAAAGCAATATCTAGATGAAAAAAAAAACTTAAATAAAATACACAATAAAAACCTTCTCCAAAAACTGGGATTCGGTATAAGTCCGTGGTGTGATTTGGCGAAGTACTGGAGTGACACCCGGACCCAAGTTTTTAGCAGCCTTCGATCATTCGCATAGCATATGTATAAAGGAAAAGGTAAATACTTGGCTGCTTTTATCCTATTTATAATGCAAAATGTATTATTACACATATGCGGCACTCTGCTGCTGAATTAAGATATTTTTGAAATAAACTACTTTAACGTATTCAGAACAACTAGAAATATAATTTATTTACGTATGTTTCAGATACACATACAAATTGGATAGAAAATAAAATATTCTATAGTCAACGTGTGTATGGGCCTATTAACGATGTATCCTTGTTCCGTACACAAAAATTTTTCATGCTAAACTTTAGAATTAGTCATATTTCGTCTCTTTTATTCTAGATCTGGTGGCATCAAATGAGTGGTTCTAAGGACGAATTCTAGCAAAGACATATCACCAGCGAATAGTGCAATTTGGCTGCATATTTCTTAAGTAGCTGGTATCCCCTATAGCACTAAGGCTGTGACTTTGAAAAATGTGAAGCTCCTAAGAATAATTTTTTGTTTTTTTTCTCTAATATCTTAAAAATGGTGTGAATACCACCAAAAAAGTTTACAATATATATAAAAGTTGTGTACTTTGATGAAGCTTTCCTACTGGTCAAAAAAATATTTTTTGTTTAAATAAAATAATAATTTGAGTCAAAACATCTATATGTCATAAATAGAAACCTGTTTAAAATTTCCTTCCAATGGAAACTTTTCGGGTTGGTAGAAAATTCCCGTGTTTATACAGCGGAAAACAATAAGCTATGCAACTCCCATCTTTATTCACGACTTTCCCCTATTTTTTTCAACCAAGTGCAGTTCTTTTAAAAGGTAGCGGATTTGTCTGGTTGAAGTTTTACAAAGTTTTAATTCCGAGCTTTTGAGTTCTTGACTTGAAGGCGGCGAAAGTGACTGATAGAAAAGCGGAAACCCATCGACACAAGAATATGTGAAGGGTGCATCAAAACCACGAAGTTTAAGACGACAGCTGCCGTGTGTGGCCTGGCGTTGTTATGTAGCAGGGTGGGCTAAGCTCATATGTCGGGTCATTTTATCTTGAATGGTTTAATCGACTCTCTAGTTCTAGATTTTTACTGAATCCGGCCCTCGCAGTCTTACTAAACGCAAAAGGTGATTTTATTCAGATGAATATCTGAATAAACCCTGGGTCTTGGCTTCTCTGACAAAACCAACCATTCTCTGCTTCATGTTGGCTTACTTTGTGCAAAAACTGGTTACTGTAGCGCGTGACATTTGATGCTGGGAAAGATGTTTAGATACAGCATTAAACTGTAATTCGCTGGAGGAACTGGAGAGTTCATGAGATAACCAAGCTCCTAGATTTGCTGTAAACCCAAAATGTGTGAAGTGTTTATCAAGGTCGAGTGGCTGCAGGCCTTCTCTTCGGTCAATTCCTAAGTTGTTTGTTGGCCGCCTTTTTTTCCAGATGTCATGAGATAATCATCATTAAACTCTGACGGTCGGTCGGAGTAAAGGGCATCCTCTAGGTATCAGATACCGCTTTAAAATTTGGTAAACCACTTCTAGTTTTAGCGATAGCGTCGTTACCATATAGAAGGCAAATATTATGGGTTGTTTCGGCAACGTTTTGATCTAGCCAAAGTGCATGACAAAAAAACGTGTCGAAAATGCATTGTCTCCCGTCTAAAATATCTATTTTTGAGTAGTTTTTTGAAGGTGTATACAACGCAACAAAGAAAAGAGCCTTCGAACAGTACATCAGATGTAAACAACAAATGAAAGGAATTTGAAAAAGGTTTTAAAGAAGGCAGAAACTCTAACTTTCGTATTGAACATATTTTCATAGGTCTCATTGTTTTTGAAATATTGTTAAACAAATATATTGGCGAACTTAACAAATTTGTATTTTGACAAGCATACATTTTTTAAACTAATGTTATTACACTAATGCTAGTGGGCATCACTTCAGCGTAGAAAATCGTAAAGAAAATAAAATTGATAATCTCTCCTTGTAGGTGCAACCTGCTCTTTCGCTTAGCATTTCGAAACTGCTTCGTTATGATTACAAAAAATCACTATCTATTTAATATATCAATCAAGTATAATACTTTTCTGAGTAAAGCTGGCTGTTTACAATAGGATGTTTTAACTAATAACTAAATGCAATAAACTTTATATTACATTAAATCATGGATTACTCAATTACTTTAAAAGGCCACGATAGTTTATATACATTAGAATCATACGAAAGAGTAAGCTAATTTGTTTGTTACCGGCCTTTTCCATTATTAATACTGAATTGTCAGAATTGATTTGTTCGGGGTCTGCTGTATCTAATGATTTGAAAACCCCAAATGTAAGATCGTTACTTTCATACCTAATTTATCATCTAATACGATGTTATATGCATATGATACCTCGTTCATTTTCTTTTCGGCCTCTTGTAAACGCTCCTTGATACCTGATAAAACTCCATCTTTAAGCATTATGCTTCGTGTAAGGGACCCAATGCAGCTTTCTGCGGAACATATACGCATGTATTGCTGCTTCAAATCTACAGTCAAATTCACCAAATTATAAATGCTGCATTAGTATTCGGCGGCCGTGGCTTCACGAAGGAAAACCTCGTACAAGCTATTTTTTGTATTACAAACAGATTATGACATCTAACTTCTAGCGACCGCCGCAGTGTATATTTAGCGAAAACCTATTTAGTTTCGAAAATTAGCATGAAGCTATATTGAAGACTAAAAGACTTGGCGAATTCGCTTAGCTGAGAACTATAGATTCGCTTGGACCAAACGAATGGCAATATCATTAAAACATACCCTGTACTTCCTCCTCAAGAGCTATGAGTTCGGTTTCTTGGTCATTTTGGAGATGTTCCTGGACGATTTGGTTCTGCAAAAGCACCTCCTCATTGAGAAGGTCTTCAAACTCTTTTTCAAGATATGCGTATTCTTCGTTAATACTCAGTGCCTCATCCATAGATAACGTTTCACATATTACCTATCGAGAAAATGAGACCTTATTAAAAATGTTATGGCAACTCAGAAAAGTATTCTTCTTATCTGAATAAAATTTTCAAAGTTCAAGCAAATGCCAAACTGATAATCACTCTTACCACTGATGAAAGTGATGCATTTACGTTTGGCCAGATTGTCGAATCAAGATTCTCCAAAAAATTTTTCGCTGCTCCTAGCCATTGTGCCCGATTCCATTCTGGGTTAGTTGCTGGATTTAGGTCCTTAAGAATGTCTCTCACGAAGGAACTGGCCAAGTCTTTGTCGGCACCATATAAATCTGCGCATATATCAATGAGTTCTGAAACGCTAATCTCCATACAAATGAAAATAAAAATATCGTTGGCAATTTTACAAAAGTTATTTCCATGGCTATAAAAACGAACAATATGTTAATAAAGTTACTTTATGGATGCCGTCTGCCGCCTAACAGGGCTCGAATAGGCCATATCAAGTTCATATTAATGACTTAGTTACTTTGTATATAACTGCTACTAGGCCCATCCAAGGACCTGTTTACGATGAGCTACGATAACGATCAAAACAACGAATGTTGCTTTAAACCCAGGCTTAGCTATCAATATCCCCTAATTTATCAATCCAAATATTTTTTTAATTGGTTAATTTAAAGAATATTATTAATAGTGCTGCACGTCCTGCACGTTATTGGAAATGCGAACATATGTATCCGTATTATCTATTTAATTACATATATTTATAAAGCCTCAGGATAATGAAAGTAAATTTAAGATTAACAAATTGACGTACCTTGCGTACCTTTAGCGTAAACATTTTTATGATATGCTGCTTCAATTATTAGCCTGCCATGTACAATATATCCTTTCGCTGGACAGTATGTAGCTTTTCGGTGCCTAATTCACACTTTTCAACCAGATTCTAAATATCAATATAAGTTTAAATTTAGACGAAGCTAACTTTTTAATTGCATTCTGAATACCACATATATAACTCTAACGGCTAACCTCGTTAGGTGTCGTGCTGAAGCCACCGTACATCGGAGAGCTTCGAAAAGTTCATATGAATGGGTAGTAGCTATAGTCTTGTCCAATAAGCGAGTCACCGTTCTTCTATTTGATTCCTGCCCTTTTAAAGCGATCTCATCTTCATCCTGAAGGCTCCTTCGAGAAGAACTCGTCCACCGGTATTCTTTAGTAATTTCCATCCTTGAGTTGAACATTATAAGCAAATTAATGCGTCCCTGACAATCCGGAGTACAGCATTGGGCTCCTGCAACGTCATTATGAAATTGAAATAACCTCTTACGCGAAACTGGATCTTCCTCACTTCTTGATATTACGTTTTACAAAGGGCTTCGCGCGTCATGATATGCTACTAAATAAAATGTATTTAGATATGGTTGGAATCATGCTGCTTATCAAGTACAACATTTCAAAAGTCAATTTAATAAAGCTCGATATTTTAAACACTGCATATGAAATTATTAATAGTTTTAGGCCGCTAGATAGCACTAACTAAATGTTTTCCAGGATCGAATCCCTTTAAGTAACAATGGTGGCGGATCAGATCAAAACAGCTGAGTAAATAATTTAATACTACAGAAGGATAGGGAAACACGTTACTACAGGCAAAATAATAGTAAGAGAATCGTCATGCACGCTTCAAATGTGATTTTAAAATGCAAATCTTAAATAAATTGTAAGATTAGCTTTTCAAACTGCTAATTTATTCATCTTTGATCAGAAGTTTAGCTGGTGGCGGTTGAAGAATAGTATGCGGATACTATTAGCATATTCAAGAAGTGGTTTGATCCGTTTTGATATATTTTTTAGAGTTCAGCTCAAGTATAATATAATCATTGCCGAGAAGCTGCAAGTGAATATAAAAAGAATTGATATTTAAATAAATTTGACAGCATGCTTTAGATGAGCATGTTACAAAAGACTATACCTGTGCCATGTTTTGTTCTTCTACCGGCGAGGTTCCCCACCATTGCTTTCCAGCATCTAGGATGGAGCACCAGCACGCAACCTTCCTGACAGAAAACTCGGACAAAACCGGAAAAATCAAGCGATCGCTCGAAAATCTCCGGTTTGGCACAAGTGTTTCTATTACAACAGACGTGATCTGCTTGCGGGCTATTTTCTAGTTGTGCGAGCAAAGATGAGCACGCTTTTTCAAATGCTTCTTGATTCACTGGATGCAGCACTACGTCAGTGCCGGGCATTACAACGATTTCGAATGAAGCTTCCCCCAACGATCTGCAATATTAAACAATCAATGTTTTTCAGGGTATTACATTGCAAGAACTTTTGAATTATATGCAAATATTTATTTAATAACAACCTCAAAACAATAAGAACCGAGTGACGAAAGAAATCTCACGTTAAGCTAAATGGGTAGTATAAATCATATAAGGTGAGTGCCTTAGAAAATAACATAAGGGCCACTAATTAGGTAACCATACTGCCATACTTGTTGCCAACCTTTTCGCTAAGTCATATTGACAGGCGGCTATTTCTAGTTCGGCCGTCCATAGCTGGACCATCCCCTGATGAATTTTGACAGACTTCAGTAACTGTCTTGCCCTGCGCATCAGATCTCTATCAGAACTACGCAAGGCCGCGTACCCGCATACAAGCAGGAGCTGTTCTTTCAGGGCGGCGTCGTTGTCATCGGTTTTCATCAGGTCGATTAATTGTCCTAAGACGGTAACCGCTTGATCAAAGGAGTTCTGCATTAGATATGCCCCGACACGCTTGCACAAGTCATCTTTACCCGGCTCCTGCAGTTCGCAGGTGTTTCCTTCAAGAACTTGATTTTATATTAAAAGTTGATTACTAACGTGCCTTTAATCCATTTGAAGTTAAGGAGAGCTTAAAAATGTATTAGGTCTACAAGCCCAACTGCGCACACAGCCTACTGTTTGGGCTGTGTGCTCAGCAGTCATAAATTCTAGGCGGCCTTTTAACTAACCCTAAGAAAATAGTTAGGCATATTTCATTGTTTCACTACAAAGTTCCTTAGGAGGCTACAAATAGAAAGTTGATATGACAGATCCCAAGCTTCTCGCGTGATTACTAATGTATTAAAAGAATATTTGAAAAAGTGCTAGCAAGGAATTTGCTAGCGCTAGTTGGTTATACTTGATTTACATGAGAGACAGATTTCGTTTCCTACCAAAAATATCGTGTGCACTTACCTTCGACACGCGACCGAATTTTCGTCGACATAATGTTGTTCTGGCCATATTGGCGTGACGGGTCGTGGTGACGAGTATGTTTAAAGCCATGGAGCTCTAATTGGCCATTATCAATATCTTTATTATCACTGTTGTCGTCATTGTTGTATCTACCGTGAATTTCCAACTGCCAGATATAGCAAAATGTTTCCGACTCCGTGGCGTAGTTTGAAAGCAGAACAACGATGGGTAGTGATAGGGGTGCCAACTTCTGCATAGATGTAATTACTCCTATTTGACTGGGATGAAGTAGCCCCTTTGTCAACCCCTGTGTTTCCAATAACCCAACGGTGTACCCTAACTCTTCCGGGAGCTCCGCGTACCACTTGTTATACAAATGCCACTGATCATCAGTCGACTGCAGTGCCACTAAATAGAACAGTGTACCGTATGTAATCTCTTCGAGGACGTAATCCTCTGCCAATCTCAAAAATTTCGAAAACGTTAACCACAGTTTCGCCTGCCGAGCGCTCTGAAGAAGTTCCCCAATAAGATCACTAATGATAGTCCCCTGATCGGGCTCTGTTGTCACAAGACATTCGGCTAACACGTGCGTTAGAACGACCGCTGCATCACGTACGTGCGCACGGTCTTTAATTTCGCTAGGATCGTCCCGACCCTCTCGACCGATGTCGTAATTACGTAAAGAAGGAAATTCGTGAAAATTTTCAATAGCTAGCTGTAGGTGGCTGCGCATTGGTATTGCAAACAGATCGGCGTGCGCCAGAGTCCGAATTTGCAGAAAACGGTCCAGACTGCAGAGCTTTCCTACCAGGTGAAAAAGTTTAAGAGTTACAACATCTGCGTTAACTGCTTGGGCAAACCCCTGAATATTTATAAACGCAAGAAAAATACAACTGCCTTAAACTGAGTGTGAAGGGCGTATGTTACGTTACGGTTGTCTTTTACCTATCACCTGCTGTATCGTTATGCTAGCTACAGTCCTAGATAACTACAATGTATATATTTTTCTACGGTTAACGAACGCGCTACGTCTTGTAATAAACGCGAGTGCGATGAACCGTCTGAGATGATATCAAGAATCAACGTTGGAGCAAGCTATACTATGATCATATGCCGAAAGAGCTTCTCACAACATAAATACCCAGAAAAGGTGTATCGACGGCATGCATACATAGAGCTGTCCATGAGTTAACAGACTCGCTGTGTGGACTCTTTAACATGAAATAACGTTAAGTTATGTACGCTGCCTAACCACGAATGAAGGATATGCTATCGTGTGTTCAGAGGAAACGTACCTGTTTTTTGTACATCGCCGTACGTACTTCTAGTGCAGTTGCAAAGGGTCTTTACGAAAAGTTCAGATAAAAAGTCAACATCAAGCTCTATTCCCTTAAATATACCTTGTGAAGCAGCGAGACCCACAAAACGCTTTGAAATCGTTTCGAGATCTGTTTTATTCCGAAACGACCACATATCGGTTAGCTGTTCGAGTCACTTCAAAGCTACCGCAATTCTGAAAAGTTATGTTGAGATAAGTATAGTGCATAGACGGGAATTACTTTTCAATTTAGTCTAGTATGAAAAAGTTGACTGAGCGAAGAAAGAGTTCAGTTTCGTAGATATGTAAAACGCATTTTCGTTATTTCTGTTTTTATCACATGTGATATAGTCGCCATGTCTAGGACAGAAGAGTTGTTGGACGCTGGTCACTCAAGCGATGTCACACATTTGTCATGCAATTTGTATTAAAATAAAAAGTACACTTGACGACAAACATGTTCTTCTCATATAAAGATTCACTTCTTTATCGCTTTTTCAAAAATGCTGCGTAAGGGCTAGAGTTATGGGTCAGTAGTAAAAATACCTAAAGGAAGCTTATTGTTTAGGAATCATGCGCATCGATCGTAGTCACCTTGCATAGAAATCTAGGATTTAGTTTTAGGTAGACACTGATTAAAATAATTGTAACTGCTTCCAGCTTGGCTAGATTTACCGGATAGCTGGATAAATTTACTAACAGCACACAATTGCATTATATTGTCGTTTTGAATTTGAGTCATTGTGTCATCGCACCAATAAAAACAGTACTAAGTTGGCTAACTTGTTGATACATGTTCTAGCGCGTTCAAACAGTCTCGCTCGAAGAATCAGCTGTTTCGCTAATTCTCCCATGTGTACGTGCTGCACTCTCAGCAAATGTCAACGCTAAGCAGACGATTCGCAAGGACGAAAAAGGCGGGCGACTCATACTAATTAGGCATATTTATGTGTGTAATGAGAATTGACCGAAGATTTAGGACGATCGTCAGGAGGCAGATAGTTCAAGCGCTGATTGTATTTCATAAGCTAAGACAAGCAGCTGATCCAAACTATGTTCCAACCCTGTTTAGCGAGGTTTAAATGGTCACCACCTTTTACGATTCATTCAAAAGATTTAGTCTTATGTGAGAGGCTCTTTTGACGTAAACATTTGTTTAATATTCAAATTTCATCACTCGGTCATGAACCAATTATAAATATAACATTTTTTCAATCAAAGGTTATCCATGTTATTTTTTGGTATACCACATGTGTAAGGCTGCGTCGCTGAAAATGATGGCAGTGAATATTGAAGCTCGTACTCTTCGCTCATGATAAACTCCGTTGTTAGCTTACTCCAATAAGAAAAATGGTATATTTTCTGGTGCCCTAGCCTCTAGTGTGAACACCGCGATGAAATATCTAGAAACGTACGAAAAAATGGTTCATTCTGGGTTGTCATCCAGGCCGTGTTCGGTTCAGTTAAGCCAGTGAGACGAAAATCTCCTTCTGACCCTATACTTTGTTAACATTCTCCGTATGAAATTCGGTAGTGCGGCCTGCAAGCGATCGGTTTTCCGCTAGTAATATTCCACTGGTATTCGAACGAACCGTGGTCTAAAGAAACGGCGTTGGTATGTATCGAAAATTTACAAAAACGATAAATTGCAAACTCACATAGCGCCATAGTTTGGATAACGTAGCCCTTAGCGGCGAAAGAACAGAACTACTTTTTGGAAAATCTTTTAGCGCGTATTCATTTAGCTTTTTTCATGGGGATTTATAGAAAATAATTACTCGAAGAGTTAGCTCTATTATATAAAAGCAACTTCGTTACGCTATTTCGGTTCTTCACAGTACACTTTATTTGATATCAAATGTGATGGACGGCCAGCTACGACAAAATCAAAGGTAGAATAGTGAAATTTGCTGTAGGTAAGCATTGAAGTCGCTCAGCACTGATCATTGTCAATAGAACGTATTGTTCACGCTGTATAGTTTCGAGTTCAGAATTGATTATTGTTATCCGTGCAGGTCAGACTTGCGCAATGGCCTAGAATCAACTCGTCAAATAATTCGAACTAAGTCCTAGTTGGGAATTCATGTTTACGAGTGGAGTTTGGATACGACGGAAGTCGTTCAAAATTATATTGTTTTGGGTTTCGTAAGTGTATCAGAGCACTGTTTTTAAGGCGGGCTTGTTCAAAATTTATTCAAACCCATATATAGGTATTTTGGCAACAATGGCGAACATTGTATAACAAAACACTGTCACGCACCTGTTATCATTTTTATTGTAATTTTTAGGAAATATCTCCTTAAGTGAGCTTAGTGGGCAATATTTCCAATGTGTAACTATATCCGTTACGTACTCACGATGACATGTGCGTTTGTTTGTTAATGCGCAGCCACGATGTACGTATGTTACGAGAATTAATTTTTGCAAAAGTAGAACTTTTTCACACAATAAGATTATTATAGTAATAATCAGTTAACTATGTTACCCATTTGTGTCATAGGGATTCTGCACTTTCTTCAGGTTAACGTCGCTCTTCTGTTCGTACCGCAGTCGTATCTGTTGTCGACTGTATCTTATAGTTTTAGAAAAGCAAATTGTAGTTGTAAAAATGTATTTTTTTGGGGACGTCCTAATCAATGAGTAAGAAATTAAATATCGATAGGTCTGTCTATGTTATCGCTACATTACAACATTCAGATAAGGGAGCGCACATTTCATGGAGGGAGTAAAGCAGAAAACATAGCACACGGTTAATTTGCGAAAACTTATATCGTCATATTGATCATTTGGCATAAGTTATTGTTATTTTTATTAATTGTTACTATACGAAGCTTTATTAAGCTCTATCTCTATCTCTACCGCATCTTAGCTTAAGACAATTACGACGTTGCGTCAGCGTTCTGGATTTCAAATGATGGTTTAGGTTGACGTTGGGAAGCGCAGATGGCCGATGGTTGCGCTTTGGTTTCTTAGCCTCTGTTCAACTTAACTTTTAGTTGAGGAATTGGTGGCCACACAGTATACAATCATCATTTCAGATTTCATCGTGTTTAGCTGACTCGTCCATTTGTCTCATATTGAATTCATGGAAGAAAAAGCACCTGGAAAGCTCGATAGTACGTCGGGGTTTGATACTCTTCGCTGGATTTGGGGATCGTCAATAGCGAACCCGCCTTCCCAGACAGCATGCAGGGATGACGATAGTCCAGGTTTTCTTGCAGATTCGCCCAAAGTGACTTAAATTTATTGCCAAAATGCTCTGATTGGCTAATCATCAGAACTTTGAAAAACTGCATTTAGCGCTTGTCAAGATCCCCGTTAACGCTGGTCGCAGAGTGATTTTTAAAAATATCTATGAATTTTTTAACTTGGTCGTTCAGTTCCGGCTGGTGCTCCGAAAAACAATGGTCATCCACGTTGTTTTTCTTGGATAATTTGTCAATAAACTTGCCTTGAATTGTGATCCACTGTCAGTGTTGCGTTAGTAGTTACGGATGGTGATACCAGGCGACGTAGATTGTCGACATAGCCGTATTCTAAGTAATGGCGAACATTTCGGCTCGCTTCAAATGTGTATCGGCGCTCCCAAGATAAGAAAGTCAGCAAAGACGCCCTGGAAAAGTAACCGGTTTTATCCACTCTTAAGGCCGAATTGTAACAGCTACTTTGTAGTAGCTTGACGGATTTTCGATTCACCAGAGGAGCATGCGGCGCAAGTGTACGGTATATTCACTATCGCAATCAAGCTAGATACACTTGCATAACGAGTCGCTTCATATTGGCAGCATTGGGATGAGCTTCATACGATCTGCCTTGTACTTGCCGGGGTCGACTTAATGCGCCCACATATGAGATATTCTTGGGTAATCGATAAGGATTCGCGAAAATGGAAGAATGTACGTAGGTTATTCGGCTATGCGCTGCGAAGGCACACCTTCACTTGTGATGGCTGAGGCTTTTAAGTGATATGCGTCGTGGGTTCATCATTTTTGAGGTCGCTTTTCAAGGTGTGTGACACCTATACCCTTCTCTTGGTACCTGTGGAACAAAATAACTCAGATATTATAATTGCTCGTAAGCTTAAGTAAAAGCCGACTTTAGAATTGCCTCGAGTCTAAGAAATGCTTATTGGCAAGCAAGTTGCTTGACGGCATGAGGATGTCACCTCATTTCTAGATATGTATGCTGTAGATGCGCTTTTATAACAAGTAACGCAACGCAACGCGTGCGCAACTGATCTACTTCGCAAGGAGCAGGCACACATATAAGGTTGTGACTTTTATCAAAGTCACAAGAGGGCTTTTATCATATCGCCGCCCGGCTTTATTCGAGATAGAGTCTCACCTTTTCATCAGTTTGTTCAATCATCTTTTTTTTGGCTGTCACCTGCTAAACTGACAAATTGTAAACAAATAGTATTTTGTTTATTTTTTCGTATTCGTCAAAAACACGACAGTAATTACAGTGTCGTCTGGGTACCCACCGTAGCAGAGAACTCCGCTGTTACGGTATTCGCCAACTGTTAGAAGTTCTTTGGGTCCATGTTATTATCGAAAAACGGATGAATCTATTGAGGGGAACTTTTAAGGGTAGTACTAGTTACATACCTTCGCTTCTGTATGCTTCTACCTGAAGGTACGCTTCTGTGAAATTTACTATAGAGGTTTAGTAGTCGACAGTCAGCTTCATGTAGATGTCCTCCAGGATAGACAGCAGATACATGATGTTCTCACTCGACATTGGTGCTGAAGTCAATAGAGGCTATCCAGTTTTCACTTTAGCAACGACGATTAAGACTGCATGATCTAAATGCGAATTGAGGATTGGAATTTTTTTGAGCAAGGCTTCTCGTATACTGCTCAAAACATCGTTTTTTTTTCTATTTTTTCGGACGACAGGAATGGCACAAAGCTTCGGTAGCTGAATGTTTCTTGGTTTGCGCACTGTATTTCGATTTAGGGACTTAGGGATTTAGGGATTTAGGGAGGTCTATATCATTAGAGGTTTGTCCTTTTAGCCCAGTTGATTCGTTCCCTTTGAGTTATGAGAGCGCGGTTTAACATATCAGTACCACTTCCAATCACCATTCTGTAGTAAAAGTACTTGATGATTCCAGCGTGCGAATCATTTGTCCTCATTCGTGCCATCAGTGAATTTGTAGTGCCTATGTAGCGGTTTTTTAGGCGTTTCTTAGTGAAGTTTTAGGAAGATCGCCAGGGCTTTGTTTAATAGCTCTAATTAGTTATAATTAGCTATAATTAGTTGTTGCGTGATTTCTGCATTTGTCTTCTCTTATTGTTGCAGAAAAGGATCCATTTGTAATGTAATGTAAATATGTTGTGGATGCTTTTGGCTAAAGTAAATTATTATGTACTATAATTTTTCTGCCGCAATTATCTGCCAGCGCTACGACGTCAAATTACGCATTGTATCAGTAAAGTCATTTGGCCGATTTCCCCCAGCAGCGATTATTCATAATAAGAGCGCCTATCGGTGGAACGGTTATTCTAGGTTCTAGGTGGCTATAAAACGCATTTGGCTTTTCCTATCAAGGCGGTACTATTACGGTTTTACCTGTTTCTTTCATCTGTTACCTATAAATTCGCAGTATGCAGATGCTTTTCGTAACGTAATCAATGGTGTTTAGTGAATAAAATCCAATGATGTGTACCGAATTCTGAAGTAAGGAAAGGACTAATATATATTAGCATATATATATCAATTGACTTTTGTAAATAACGGTTATTAATTGCAACCACTAAACATATTGGGCTTAAAAGTACCAACGAAGCTGCGTGTATATATATATATATGTATATATATGCAGTTTCGTTACGGAAATGTGAGTAGGTACTTTGCCTATCGAGCTCAAAGCATCGTATCGACGTTACTTTATATTATTGTACAAAATTTGATAGGGCATGTGTTTTTGGTAAGCACGGTTACACATATAATAGCACGGATACACATACGAGAAGGACGTATACAAATAAGTTCGCCAAACAAGATACCTTTTGACGTAATAAAGTGTTCCCGAATTGTGACCATAAACGGTTTATAATGTTACTCACGTTGTAAATACTGACCGGCCTTCATCTCCAGATTGATCCTTGCGACTATTCGAAAACGTGAACCTGACCGGTCGTCCAAATACGCCTATTATCTCCTCAGGGCTCTCCGCATCTCGACATGAAAGCTGCATAAAAATTGCTAACTGCTAGAGAAAATAGCTATAGCTTTAGGTTTTTACGGCTTCTTTAAGATTTATTTAAATTCAAAAGAAACGAAGTCGGACCATCAATATGACGCGAAATATCCTCCTCATATTAAAATGTAACCTACTTTTAGTTGAGAATAGAGGAAGACGCCCTTTTAGCAATGGTCTTTAGTATTTACTCAACGAAATGCATATGAATCATTATTTTCTGATAATTATTCACAAGGCTCATTCTTTACTACTTTCAAATGTGGTAAATAACCAGACTCAAACATTAGTCTATAACAGTCAGCATTATCTTCATAACAGTAAGCACATACTTGGACACTGATTTCATTGATTTGGACGTTTTAGACGTCTACATTTTCCCTACTAATGGCCATGGGCCTATCATCGTATTTAGGCTCAGTGCGGCAGGCCCTGTCTACACAAGCTGCAACTACACGTAACGTCCACGTTGTCATTGGGAATGAAGCCTGTGACCTCGACTCGGCGGTCAGCGCCGTGGTATGTTTTCTGATTTACCCTATTTGGATCTAACGTGCGAGCTATCATGCATGTCAATTGTAACTACAAGAACTTAGTGATCTCGGCTAGAGGAGGTAGAAGCTGACGAAGGATTTTATGTATATACCAAAATAAGGATGCCGTCCTAAAATACCGTTGCGAACAACACAAAAAAAACAAGGCCCACGGCCAATATTTGCGGAATATATTTGAATTATGTCAGAAAGGGGTATTCGTACACACTCTTCGTTCTAATTAGAAAAATTAATATAGTAGGTATTTCACATTCCAATTCTACATTAAACACATTATTTTAACGCTCTTGACTTTTCGTTACAAAGAAAAAAAAAAGTCAGAAAACTAATGATTTCCTTCTAGATTGCGTGAGTAAACACCGATTGTAACAGACGTCTGGTATGGAGATACTCATTGCTAGTCTTACTGGTTGTAAGACTTTCTTGTTAGTTCTAAATTAGCGCTTTACCTAATTACGTGGATAGTGATTAGGAAACAGGTCTGTACGAGTCTGAGTATGGGCTTAATAAGTTTACGTGAAATACGCTACATGCAGGTGGCTGGTTATATATTGGGATCGAAGACTGAACGTCTTGTAGTACCGATGCTAAACATTCCTCGATCAGACTACCCTCTCAAGACCGAGGTTCAATTCGTATTTAACAGGCTTAATATAACGGAAGATCTACTGAATTTCTTCGACGACCTTTGTCTTACTGACTTGCATAAGGCCAAAAAGCTCGAGGTGACCCTCGTGGACCACAACGTCGTTCCAAAGTGCCTTGAGACCATCAATGATGCTGTTGTACGGGTCATCGATCATCATAAGTGGGAAGCATCGTTTACCTCACCGATAGACAAAAAGATCGAAATGGTAGGGTCGTGCGCTACCCTGGTTGGAGAAAAGCTTCTAGCAGATCATCGCGAGCTCGCTGATGAGACAATAACAAAACTGTTGCTATCTACGATCATCGTTGACACAGTGAACTTCAGCAAATCAGCCAACAAGGCAACGCCAAAAGACGAAAAAGTATTCAAAGAGTTGTTATCGTTTGCTCCAAATATAGACTGGGATTCGGAGTTTGTCCAGATTAAAGAGGCGAAATCATCCGTTTCTTGGATGGCTGTTCGCGACCTTCTTAGAAAGGACCTCAAAGTAATTTCAGAGAACGAATTGACAATTACTGTGTCGACTGTGCCGGTGTCGTTGAAGAGTCTTTTAGCGATGTCCAACTTTCGAGCTGATCTAGAGTTTTTCCGGCAACAGCAAAAGGCCAATGCGGTTATTGTAATGACGACAACTACAAAAATGCAGGATAGCGAGCAGGACTGCATGCAACGAGAAATGTTAATTCATGCGAAAATTGATCCTTTACGTGAGGCGTTGGTCGATTACCTGAAGCGCTTCGACCAGCCGCTTCTTGACTTAGAAGAAATAACTTCTTGTTCGACCATCTACAGTCAGCACCCAGCAAGTAGCGTTTTCATACAGAAAAACGTCGGAGCCTCTAGAAAAGTTGTCCTGCCTGCAGTCCGCTTATTCGCAGCGTCGTACAAAATATCGTCTGAACAGGATTCCGCTTAAGGACACTGCCTATATACGTTCATATACAAATTTTATAGTAGGCGCAATAAATGAAATACGCTAAGACTCTACTAGCTTCTTCCTTTCTATATTCTAAGCAGGATATGTAGAAGTTCAGAATGCGGATAGGATATGAATCAGTGCGCATTTAGCGGCTTTGGCCCGGTCCTAGTATGCACAGACGATTGTCTGCTTTGACATGGGTTTTCAACGTGACATCGATAAAGCTGGTAACTTGATTAGCCCGTTAACTCACTGATGGCTTACCGTCTGCTGAAAGTAGAGGAACTTCTCTTTCGGCTCGATGCCACATAAAAGCCAATATCTTGTTGTGCTCGAGACTATAACTCTCAGAATAGAGTGTGCGATCATTTGTAATTTGCCCTATAGTGGGCACTGCAAATTAGATAAGACTCTTCTAAATATGCGTCCTAATATATATCTAAATATTTTTTGATGTATTACTTTTAACACCATTAACCAAGAGATCTCATTGATTCAAGCTTTTCGATTTGGAGGATTATTTTGTAATCGCTAGCTTATGTCTCCCATAGAACTCGGGTTACGCGGCTGGTGAACAAGCGCCCTAGCTCCTCAGATAGTGCTTTTCGAAGTTTAATTAGAATTGGCCTAAAATCTATTATTCCTTTATCACTGGTAAAACGAAACGTTATATGTACCTCTGCTTCATTTGAACATAAAATAATGAATATATACATCTTTTATACAAATTTGTGGGTATTAGTCGCTATAGATTTTGGTTAAATAACTGTGCTTTTGGCCAAAACCTTATTTAAAGGTCTATTGGTGGATCATATTAATGGGGCACAGGCTCGTTCAAACTTGAGTAGTATTCCTTCGCGGCCTCCATGCCCTATATGTCCTTTTATTTTTACGGCATATTTTTATAGGCATATTTTTACGGTAACAAATAGTCATGATTGACCTGGTTATATCAGTGTTCTGGCACATGTATAGTAGGTCCTAACTACAAAGTCGACTTCTATCTACGTACCTATAGCTAGGACGGTCGGAAAAATACACTTCTACATTGGATCAATTTGCTCATAATTTATCATTTCCTCAGCAGTCGACAAAAAGTATAAGTCCTTGACCAAACTTCAACAATTAATATCTTGGGAAACGGCTTCAACTCACTTAGCCTGATACAATTCAGGATGTCATAGAATAATAATCACAGACTGCACTGACTAGCCTTACCTTTGTCACTTACTGTATTTAAAAAATATTTGGCCTATTCTACTTAAACTATGAGAAACTATGTGCTGTAGAGTATTCAATATATTAAGTAAAATAACATATTAATACCGTTACTTCAGTGTTAAAAATTGTATATAGGTTTCAATTATGATATATGGGCCGATCAGTGATACGGTTGGTCTTATAGAATCTCGTAGTGGTTTTGCCCGTGACGTTGGCTGTCCCAGTTATTTGACCTATTTTGCTACTTTGTTCCGATGCTGTATTGGTTACCTAACAAAGCTGTCCAACTTTATGCCTTGTATTAATTTATATGACTCCCTAGTTTTAAACAAACCTGATTTGATAGATGGAAATCTCTTCCTTGATCCAATATCACATTGTTTTCATATCACGTAAGTTACTGAGTTCATCTAAGGCTGCCATATCGAATACGAATGTTTCAGTGTATCTTTAGAACAGTGCAGCTAACTAACGTATTATAAGTAAAACAGGTTAAGTTCAATGATAAACACTCTTCTTATTCAATGAGACGTGGCAGGAGAAGCAGGTATAATCTATTTCCTGATCGGCTACGGGTGACGTTCGCAATGCTATGCTGATATATTTATGTTTGGAGATCTTCCTTTTGCCTTGCGAAAAAAACTGCTCGCGTCGTTTTTTCATTATTTAGCTTCGAGCCCAACTAACATGTATGCACACTTTGAAAATGGGAAATGTCTTCAAAACACTTCACTTGGAAAATGGGAAAAACTTACATTCCGCTAATGGTCACCACCCGTATGTACAGTAGTAACGTGGAGAAAATAAAACTAACGGTAACTTCTTTTGTACTGGTATGAACGTATGTGTTTTTGTATGTGACGCGATGCTATAGTTATGCATTAAGGCCACGCTTTTAGCAAATGGCAAAACAAAGCAGAATATTCAATCGGACACCTTTATTATCACAAAAAGCAAATAAGGGATCAGCAGTAACACAAGATGCCGCCTGGAAATTTATTGTGTTGATTTGCTACCGTACTGCATTTTAGTTTTCAGCTGGAACACAAAGTCCACGAAAACAGATTGGTTGTGTCATCTTCTAAAAGTCTGTCTGATTTTTTGGGGATGGTTGAGCAGGATTTTACTTTTCTATCTTTTACCTGAAATTCAATTGCCCGAGAAACAGCATCATCAAGGTAAGAGTCGAAGGGCAGCCTTGAAAAGCCACTATTGATAATGATGGAGTAAGAAAAATGTGGTAGAAAACCAGGCTAGAAATTCAAGGTTGAGAAAAAAATAAGAGGATTATCGACGGTTTCAACTGTTGGTAATGAAACCCATTGCGCTGTTTGCCGAATAAAACTTAGCTAGTACACTCAACGAAGCGATCAGCGTAGACGTCACCATATTTCCTATATATATATATATATATATATATATATATAGGAAATAAAGATTGGAGAGATTCTGCTTCGCTATTATTTTGTACTGCGTTGACCTAAATAAATGAATGTTGTGCAAAAAAGCTCTATTAGGTTGAGAACCTGAGAGGCGCCTCCAAAGTCACTTCTAAAAATCGTTGCGGTAGGGTTATTATTATCATAAAAGCTGTAATTAGCACAAGGTCTTGTTTGTTATGGCAATACATTTTCATTCGCTTCATTTTAATTGATAATATAGCAAGTTCATTAATTTCACAGGACAGTTCAAACGAATATAAAATGTATGTTTATACGTAAATATATTTATATATAAACACTCCGCTACTGGTGAGAGAACGATTTGCCAATTTTTACCATCTTTCCTCGACGGCCTTTAGGTATAGCACTGTTGATCATAAAATGTATGTTGACAAGGATCTGGGTATCCAGTATACCAGATACCTCTGAGCATCCGCATCAGACTCGACAATAATGATATGAAGCTTGCTTGGCAATCAGATTACATTGATGTTATTACATGTAAATCGTATGTGAAGAAAGCGTGTGTTTTGCTTTTATCGAGGCCGCAGCAAAAAAAACGTATGGGATGTCTCAAAAAATCTACACATAATATAACTGACATTTGGTTTCTATAAGCATGTAATTTACATTTAAATTGCAATAAAAAGGAAAAAATGTGGTACTTTTTCTCCTGTCGCAGCTGTTCAAAATTATTACCGTTTTGGTCAATAGACCGCTGATAATGGTGGACTATAGATTCAAAAACCTGTATTATTGGTATTATAGCGCGCTCTGGGTCAATGTGGCTTTTAAATCTTCCAGTGTCGTCGATTATCTAGCCTAGACTGGTCTAAAAAACAATTAAGCTAATCTATAGGACGCCTTTGTTTAACCCATCAGTTTAAAAGATTCTCATGAGGCCATGCTGTTAAACTGCAATAATAGTATGCAGGTGCTTTACCCTATTGATAGTGAAATTTGCCATTTTCACCAAAGCCCTCCCGAATGCATAGCAAAACCATTCCTGCAGTAGGTAAGTGGTGCCACTCACTAAATTATTAAAAACAATAAAAACAGTGTACACACTTTTGTGGCCCAGCCTGTATCATAATGGAACGCGATAATGATAGTGGACGTGAACCGTTTCTGGGAAAAGCGTCCTTTTAACATTATGACACAACGTAAGAAAATAGCAGTGAGCTATGGAATACATTTTTATTTCTTCATGGTACACAGGTGCACACACGCAGATAAGCACAACCGTTATAGTGTAATCGGCATCGAGGCCGGTTCCCGTCACATCTCAGATAAAAAGCAAAAAAAAACCCTTCCTAGCTAAAAATAAATACTTTCTAATTGCGCTTGTAGGAGTTACATTCGTTTTGTCTAGATTTTTAGATCACACGAAAAGAATGAACAGAGTTTGCCCTCTGTTTACTTCATAGCTTGTCGCTTTGCCTTCTACCATTGTGTCAAAATTCTTTCCTGTTGGTCACTTCTTCTCGTTTATATTTGTTTTTCGTTGGGATGATGACAAGACCACAGCTTCTGAGGCTATGGATCCAGCGAGGCATATAAAGCATGAACGTCGACAGGAGCAGGATAATGAAGTAAATTATTTAAGATACTGAATTTAGTCAAGCCTAGTTACGTGAGTTCTGGAGATTAACCAATTCAAATAGGCTGTTGACTACCTAGGCATAGACCTTGCTGACTTGCGATAAGTATGCACTTATCTATATTTGTTCTATTGCGGAACCTGCATTAATTTTTGTAAGAAAAATGCCTATAAATTATTTTTTACCAAAAGATAAAGGGTAACTAACTATATGATCAAGTATCTACTGACAATAATAGAGTGGGCCGAGATGGAGCCCTATTAGTGCCCCAGTCTGGGTGCTCGCATTCATTTCCTTCACATAGGTGGTCTGGGGGATGGCTCTCACACTGTCGTACCTTTGCCACTGCGCATTGGAGGCTCACGATTAGACCCTTACCTTCGAAATCGTTCCGTTGCACTACGTAAAATATGATTATATGTTCCTCTATTTTTCACTATAGACCCCTGTAGGCTACTGAAGCAGTCGCTTTTTCCAGCTTTTGTTTCTACTCTTAAGCTGTACCGTAGGTACTAATATGGCCAGTATCATAGCAATGAGCCTTGTCGACAACTGGCTTGAACGTCAACGTCAGCGCCGTCGTTATAGTCTTCTGAAACGGGGCGGTTATTGCTGATGATTATCCGCCTCGAAGGCAGACAAACTAAGGGATCTTTTTATCGTCCTATACTTATCAACGGTTATCGTAATTTTTGGTCAATTAATTTGGCAAATTTCAAGTTCGTAACTAAGAAAATATCGTAAATGGTTACTATGGAGATGTCCATTGCAACTGAACT